ATTTTTAATGCGATATATATATAATATATATATAATAAAATAATTCCAAGGAGTAAATAAACCTTAGAATACGTATTTGATCCCAGACACTCTACTTCTGACATAGTATTCTTACATTCATTTAAATGGTATTAGATTTTATTTTATCTTTGAATGTTTTTGTTATTTTACACAATGTCTTTATAATTCCGTTTAATTATTTTATTTTAGAAAATTTCTCAAATACAAGTATCTATAAGTCATAGAAAAAAGTCTAACATTCTTTGTTAGAAAGATAGTTGTTAGAAAGATTTGTTAGAAACTACACAAAGCACTATAATTTTTGAATACTAAAGGCACAATTAAATAATTTCTTCTTAAAGTGCATTCAGCAAAATTTAATTTGGCCATCATACCAGGCAATGTCCTGTTTCTATATCGCAAATATCAGATCTTCCATTACACTGGCAGAGTTTTGCTTCTCCAATAAGATCAATAACAATGGTCGATGTGACAGTTGTGTTATTATACCACCGATAGTATCCGATACTTGGATTTTGACAAGATGTGCTATTATATTGCGGAGGACACTGACAAATTTCGATACCAGTTGCAAGTTGAGGTATATGTGTGGGAGTTAAAACTGCAGCGTCTATAGAAGCTTTCAGCAAGCTAAAATTTAACAGATATAATAACATATTAATAATGCAATATATTTGATATTATATAGTAAAAAATTTTATAATGGAAATTAAATAATGGAAAAATACAGTGTGAAGGAATATTTAGTTTTGCAAGTTTCAGAAGAAATTATTGTATAAATAATACATGGGTTCTAATTCTTAATTGATATCATTGGACCATTACAAACTATAATAAATTAGGTTTAAATTACTTAATTTTGGAATTTTTAATTTAACCTAATTACTAATTCTATTTATTAGTTCTATTAATTTTCTAAACTTTAATACTATAATATATATACAATATATATATAAAATAATTATAATTATATATTATAATATTAAATTATTATCATTCAACGATATTATTTGAGAGCTAAACAGGAAGATTTCCATATTACGTTGTTTTTATTAATTATAAGTAAAATTTTTTATATTCTGAAAATTCAATTTCAAATATTTCAAACATTATGAAAGAAAAGTAACTTAATTAATTAAGTGATCAAATAACAAAGTTTACATACGTTGTTTTCATAAATTCAGCATTATCGGAGGCTTTCACTAAAATATATTGCAAATTTTGCAGAGCAACCATAAGAACTTCTCTCGTAACTTTGTAGTCAGGCCTGTTTTGTAATTGCCATAAAGATTCGTGAAATCTAAAATGAAAAACAAGATAAAATAAGACATTAATTTATTATTAGAATTTCAAGTTAAGAATTCTGATCTATTAGTTAATACTGAATATTACCTAATTTCGTAATGATTAGTATCCGTAGATACGGGTGAAAAGTATTCTAAGACGATTTTATTATTTCCTTGCAGTTGCACGATTGGATATTGAAAATTTGATCTTAAAGGTATTCCACCCTCAGTTGAAGTTGTAAATCTTAAAAATCCTCCATAGGATACAACCTTAAATTATAAATGATGTTTCTTTTCTGACTGTCAAACAGTTTATTATTATATACTGCCGTTTAAAAGTTTTAAGTTATTTTTTATTTTCAATATTTAATTTTATTTTCAATATTGTAGACAAATTTTTCAATTGTGCGTGCGTATTTTATAATACAATTGTTAATTAACACTTGTCGTAAATTTTTTGTTGTATAAAATATTATTTAATTTTTCCAGTTTTGGAACAAATATTATAAGAATTGTGTTTTAAGAATTCCGAATAAAAGTATATAATATAATTGCATATTCAAAACTTTATTGATTCATTTCAAATAACCGGTGTTCCATTCTTTAAAATTACATTTTGTACATGATGTTTAATTTCTGATTAATCTGATTAATTGATTTAAAAATAAAAGACATTTACTTTTCACAAAACTACAAGTTAATTACAATTTAAAGTTAGTAATTTGTCTAGAAATTTCACGATAATAAAGCAAATGTTGAAGAAGATGTATCGATAAAAAAGTGTAAATCTAATTGAAAAATACGAAAACTGCAGCTGAGCAAATCTATGTTTCTAAGTGATTTGTTATAATCTTTTTGTAAACACTTCTTTATTACATGATGTAAAATTCAGTTCAGCAAGTTTTCGAGATATTTGAAATTACCTTGTCGCCAAGAAAAGATTCTGGTAACATCCAATAGAGTGGGTAATTATAATACAAATGTGATGGTATCGTGATATCACCTTCAACATCAGGAATCGTTGAAAGTCCATTGGTCATGTTTAAACCGCCATTAATAGGAGATAAAAATATTCGTGATCTAAATTTAGAAACCTGTATAAATGAGAAAATATCGTTCAATATTTTTCTTTCATCTTAATATCTTAATATTAATATTAATTTAATAATAGTTAATAATAATAAAATTTTTGTAATGTAATTGTATCCTATTTATAGCTTGATAAAATTCTATATTTATTTTAGACATATTGCCAATCCACATCTTAAAGAAAGATTAATAAAATAAAATTAATTCAATTCTAGCAAATCTTTCTTTGAATATTATATATTAGTATTTAGAGTTAAATTATACCGGTATAATGTACAAATTTTATTCTTATATTATTGAATGATAAACTTTTATTTAAATAAAAATTCATATAGAAATTTATTATTTTGTGTAATAGTTACAATACTTACTATTATATCGTTGATGGTATCATTGATATAAAGAGTTCGTGGATGTGTTAATCTTCGTTGTCCCCAACTAAGATCAGCTTGCTGACATGAAGTTGTTCTTCCAAAACAAAAGCATTCAGTACAACCTTTTGGATTATTCAATGCTAAACCGAACGTACCTTCTTTACACTGATTACATTGTCTTCCAACCACGTATTCCTGAATAAAAAATATTTGAAACGTTAGTAAATATATTTATAAAAAATTTCCATTTACAATAATCCACAGCATCTAATTAGGATACTGTAAAATTGTAAGGTATTAAAATATACCTATACCTATTTGCTATACCTGTATCCAGTTACTATACCTATTTACTGTAGAATAACTTTTAGTATTTACTTACTTACCTACTATAGATAAACTAGAAAAACTTTTATACCTATTTCTATTAATGCTAAACGCACCACGCCTGGTCAAATGATCAATTTAAAAATTCGATTTAAAATTCTGCGGATATAAAATATAAAAAAAAATAAAATATACAAATTAAGTAAACAAAAATATACAATCTTTTTTCTTATTAACTGAAGGTTATTTTGTGATTTGTTTCCAATATTAAATTAATTTTAATTGACAATTAAATTGACAATACATTTAGTATTAAATATTTTGTCATTTTTCTATACGTAAATTTGATTAATATAATTGTAATATCACTATAATATTAGTGCAATTTTAAAATGTTTTTATAATACAAATAATACAATATATTTATGAAAATTTCTTATGGACGTTCGAAAACTTTTATTAGAAATTATACTTGAAATAAAATATAATGATTTATATATATAAAAGTCATTATATTTTATTTTAAGTATAATTTCTTATAAAAGTTATATATATATACATATAAGTATATATATATTTATATATACCTTGCAAGGACATTGTCCTTTATCATTGCAATCACAAGTGCCATTGTCACATTGCAAAGTACCGGCTAAGTTGCAGCTGCAAGGTCGACATCTAGGATAACCATAATAACCTTTTGCACACTTTTCACATCTAAGTCCATTGTAGCCTATTCTGCAGGGACATTGTCCTTGATGGTCGCACTGAGATTTCATAGAACCAAGGGTACATGCACAAGGTTTGCAACCAACTCCTGAGACCAAATCCCAGGAACCTGGTCTGCATCTGTCACAATGCTCACCAAAGGTCAGAGTAGGACACACGCAGCGACCTGTATCAGGATCACAAATGTGACCTGGCCGTACACAGGCGTCACAAACTGAAAATTAAAAATTGCAAACATTATCTCAAGATCTCTATATTATAAATAAAATTAATATGTTCATCTGCATTTTGCTGTTCATATGTTTTCTTTTGAAATCTCACTTATAATATATGAAAAAAAAAGATCACAATATATTTTATCATATTTTTTATCAAATGATTAGCTTGAACAAAAATGGCAAAAATTAGAAAATTTCTCGTATTATACATATATTAACATACCGATTAGTGTATCTATTATAGATAATTATTAACATAGATATGTTAACGTATTTATTACATATATAATTTTTTCATAAAATGTAATAAAATAGTTTATCATAACATGACAAAAGTCAAATGTCATGTTCAGTTAACATTTTAAATTAGCAGTATCATGCACAATGCCAAATAAGATATATTATTGTTGTAAATACGTATTTTCACACAATATTTTAATTTATATAAACTAATACGTAAACACTTATAACTTTTAACGATAAAATCTATAATTAAAGAATTCTTCAAATAAAAATTGAATATTCGATACCATTTACGGTTTAATATTTATAGATGTATTCGTTTATTACATTTTCAAAAATAAATTATCGGATATTTTTAACTTTCCCGGGTATTTTACATTTCAATTCGATTTGTAATCATTGAAATATTTGAAACTGTACCTTGACATCCGTTGGATGAGAATCCATAATATCCAGGCAAACAGACGTCGCAACGTGCACCAGTCACTCCTGGTTTGCAGTGACATTGCCCTATACTATCGTGACAAGAAGAATTGAATGCACCTATAGGATCACATCCACAAGGAGCACAGCCTGCTCCCGTTGGCAAACCCCAGAAACCATCCTTAACAAGATTAAAAAAATAGGAAAAGTTTATTACAAATAATAAATTTCATTATATTAAACAAGGTGTCAATAATAATCATATTATCCGAATATATTAATGCATTATTAAAATATTTGTAATAATTTTGTGATAGTTCTGAAAATAAAATTCCAGAAACTAATATTTTTAGAATTTTACATTAGAATAAATGTCACTTAATGTCATGTGTATTTCGTTTAATTTTAATTTAAATAATTTTCCAATTAATTTAATAATAATAAGTTTATAAATAGTGATTCAAATCGTTCATTATTATATTGGTAGAATATTGAATTTTATATTTTTACTATATCTTTAAACATGGAATGAGGTTTATAAATTTTCAATTTCAGTTTATTATTATATATATTCTACTCACCATACATTGGTCGCATTGTCTGCCAGCGACATGAGGTTTGCACTGACATTGTCCTGTTATGATATCACAGGCAGTGGTTATTGAACCAATAGGATTACATCGACATCCTGAAATATAAGAAGATTATCATTCTACAGTATATTTTAATTTCGTCAACTTATATATTCTACAATTTACGATTAACCTTTGCCTCATATGAATAATTGTTAAATGTGAAATAAATATTTTTATAACTTTTTATAGGTTATAGGTTATATAGATTATATTATATATAATATAGGCTAATTATATATAAAATATTATAACCTATAAAAAGTTATAAAAATATTTATTTCACATTTAACAATTATTTAACAATTATTTCATTGACTAAAACTTTCATAATCACGGGCACACGTGGAAAGTAGAAAATAAAATAATATTTCTTTCATTAACTCTGTTTCATGTTGATAGTTTATTTCATATTCGAACCATGAAATCACGCAGAGGGAAATATGTCTTCCATTTATTTCTAGGTAACAATATATAAATCTATCGCGATCAGTATCTATTCAGTTTGAATCCTAGTCATGCATGACTAGTGTTTGCTGATGCGCGATCGATCACATTTCGCAATTAGCAATGCCGCCGCGACGAATGCTGTATTGTATTCAAACGATATAAGCCTTGGTTAGCACTTTCATAGCCCTTGTTCGTGACGAAAAAAAAAAAAAAGAAAGAAAGAAAGAGTATTCAACAAGGAATTTTTATGCCATAAATCGTGAACAGGTACTGCAGATTTAAATTGGTCAACAATGTAAGACGGTGAAATAATGCTTGTAATCGTTTCGCTTGAAAACAAGATAGTGGATGAAACAACTGCGGTAATGTTAAAGTAACTGAAAATTCGAACAATTGAAAAAGTTGAAATTGTCGAAATACTTTCTTTTTTTTTAAAAAAAGATCGACAATTTTCGTTTATTAAAATTTATTAAAATTTTCTAAAATTTTAATGAAATTTTTATTTGACTTGCCAAAAATCTTCTTTTCAAGATACCGATTACCGAAATAAATTCTTAAATCATATGTAATTCCGCTTTTATCTACAACGTCCTTCCACAACTTCACTTATCGACTAATGGAAAAATACACCTCCATCTTAATCATCTTTTCGCCAAAAAAAAAAAGTTGTCAGGTATACCAGCAAACAAGTGACAGATGATTATTAATTCAAGCAGTCACAGTCCAAGCTTCGCTTCAGACCACGTAACCATAGCTAAAGCATAAATAATGATCTCTGATCCTATGTGGTATTCAGCCTGATTATCGGTAAATAAATAACATTCTTGTTACGAAGCTGAAGGATTAGTTAGAAGCTGACTGTAACGCCCTCTTTAATTGTAACTAATATCGATCATTCTTTAAATCTATAATTCCACCTATGCTTGGTTTCTTTATTAGCTCCAACTAATGATCAGACTGATAATGAATCAATATCATCAACACTAGCTTACAAATGATACTATAATAATACTTAATTCTCATATCTAAGAGTCGATATATGAGCTTTTCTTGTTGACACTTTATTTTTACAAAATTTTTCTATTAAAAAACAGTTGCTCGCATTAATATTCAGAATTACTTTAGGAACATTTGTTGAATATTTGAATACTTTTCTTACCTTATTCTTACAAAATTTTTATTAAAAGACAGTAAAGTTACTCACATTGATATTCAAAATTATTTTAGGGACTACATTTTATCAAATAAGCAAAATGTGGTGTCAAACAAATATCGATAATTTTATAGAAGTAATATTTATAGAAAGATAATTTTATAGAAGTAATCATAAATAACAGGGATAAATAAAATTATTGATAATTTAAACTGTTCAAACTTCATAAAACAAAATTGTACAACAATCCAGTTGGGTTCATTTTAAAACCATGAAACCAACTCCATTTTACCAACCTTGATGTTTTTGCAGACGTATGTTATGCAGCAGATGGAAAAGATGTTGCTATTGTCGAAAACTATAAAAATTTAAACGCAAATTCACAGAAAAATTTTTTTCATGATCTATCATAATCTTGAAGATTCATTGTACATTCAGTCGTGAAAAAAAATTGTTCAATGTTACTACGTCAATTTATAGCATTTATTATCTAAAAACATTTTACAATAAAATGAACGATGCATTTCGAAAGTAGCTTTAAGATTCGAAATAAAGGTTTATTATTATACGATTGTTTATATATATTTAATGTTCGAATATTAATGCGAGTAACTGTATATCATTATTGAAAATTCATGCCTAAAATTTCAATACGTACTTTCCGCTGAATATTCTATTGAATCGACTGAATATCGTCGATAGTATCGGTATCGATACGATCATCAGCTCCAACTGTTCAATTGTGATCCGACGAACGTGTAGAGTGTAGATAAAAGTGGATTGATTACTCGCCGTTGATTTATCGAAGTGTTCAATAAATCTTTGAGTGGAATTGTAATTTGATTATAGGCAAAAATGAAATGTACAAGGAAATAGAAACAGCGAGTCGAGACCGTGTGGTTTAGGTTAGGTTTAGGTTAGGTTTTTTCGTAAGGGAATTACCAGTTGCGAGATAGAATCTTGGATCGTTGCATACATTAGACTCCTCCGGTGTGTAATCTTCAGTCAATACACTGTTAGGCTGATAAGTTCTGTGGTAGCTATTTTGCAAAGCACCATTAATCACTGCGATCACTTCCTATTTCAAGATTCGAATTCATGTAAAGTCTGATTTATTGACTGGATAAGCATTTACTTTCGACTTACTCAGCACTTTGATATATGTAAATTGCTGTTAGAATTGTAATTGGTTTTATTGTTAAATGAATGTGTTAATGATATTTACCTTAGCAATGGCTGCTAATATCATGATCAAAAATTTAGTATTTTTTTTTATTTAGCTTATAATTTGCTTTTCTTCTAACACCATTCGAAGGTTTTTTTTTTAATATGTTTTGCAAACATTCAGATTGATTTTTATTATTAAGGACAGGTACAAACAGACATGTGATCAATTGTAATTCACTATTCATCACTAATAAAACAAGAAAAATATTAAAAAAAGAAATGCACAATTAATTTTGAACTAAATGGTCTCATCGATAGTATAGAATTGAATATTTATATTATCTTAAATCAATATTTATAACAATTCATCAGCAAATAGATACTTTAAACGTATGGACGACTTTTTACAAATAAATTGTTTTAAAATAAAGAAACAGAATAAATTCAATGTGCAAAGAATTTTCTAATTTTCTAACTAACTGTTTGTATATTTGAAGTAAAATTGGATAAATTATATTTGAAATAAAGATGAAAAATAGCAATGTGAAATGTGAAAGAAATCATTACACGAAAAATAATTTTATCTTGAGTATCAAAATCAAATAGATCATTCGTATAGATAATCCTTATTCGAATTAAATCATCAAATAAAATAACAAATAATCCTAGTAGTAGAAGATGAATTTCACATGATGAACTCGAAAGCTACTTCAGAAATTATTTATTTACAGAAAGGAAATGTAAAATACAAAATGAAATAAAAAATTATTTCATTTGACACCTAAATAATCAATTAATTTAGAGAGAAATCACTTGCTTGCAAATATATAAACAAACTAACTTAAGATTATTTCAAGATAATAAATATCATCAAATCAAATAAGATGATATTTATTATTTAAATGTGAAGGATAAATTATTTTAATGTGTAAAATTAATCGATTTAATGCTATGAAGATGTATTGTAATTTTTAAAAATTTGTATTGTAATTTTAAAATTTGTATTATAAAATGAAGTTTTTAAAATATTTGTTATTACATTTAATATAAAGTATTTTTCCAAGTATCGTCTTAAATTGTTTAGTATCATATATTTCTTCTTTACAAATATTGCACATAAATTATAAATGAGTATGGTGTCAATTTCATATTGTATTATATATATTGTCAAGTAAAAAAATTTTTACTTACAACTAAATAAATCATATTTATAATAATGGAAAATCTAAAGATTTTTAAATGAAATTCTAAAGATATTTGTCTATATAACACAATTTCCAATTTAATTGGAAAAATACCAATAATATAAAAAGATATTTCAGATAAAAGTTGTATGGTATCTATTTTGATTTTTATGTGTTTGACTTTAACCTTGAAACATCTTGTAAATATCATGAAGATTTTGAAATCATCTTCACTCTTTATCATATATAATATTCAGATATTTTCAAAACACTATAAATTTATGTCTTTTGTTACCACCTGCTGGTAACTGAAATCTACTGCTACTGAAATATGAACTTTAAAATTTATAACATGGAAAAATATTTTTGATGTAAAAAAAATAATCTTTCTAAAAAATGATATTATTAGTTGTAGAAAGAACTAAGTTTGCAAGATTTACAAACTTAAAATATAATAATTTAATTAGCTTCTGTGCGTTTAAAAATAAAAAAAAAATTTAATAAGGAAACTTATTTTAACTCGGATATACTTCAAGAATAATATTATATTAGAATACAGGCCAATAATTATGAAGTGAATATTCTAACACATTATAATTACACAAGAGTATATAATATTATTTTTCGAAATATAAAAAAACGTATATGTATAGACGTATGTATTTCAAGGTTAGGCTTAGGTTAGGTTATAATCGCAATATTGTATATTACTGTTCAGTTGATTGCATATAATTATATCGTTACGTTTACTTGATCAACTACGATATATACATCTTATTCGCGTTTCCTTTTTTTTTTTTATCGAACGAACAGACACGAGAATCGATTGATCCGTCCATCAATCATTATTATCACCTGTTAGCGATCATTACTCTTTGGCTTAACGTTAACGAACATGAAAAACACAAGAAATTCTACCCTGCTTTCAAACTTTAACTTTCTCGTTAATGTTATCGAACTGGCAAGGCCGCGTTGCTGAAATTTATTGCGGTTATTAATTGTCCCATTAAGCTGTCAAAACGTTGCTTGCTTCTAGTATGTAATTTTCACGTGTTTTCCTTTTGTGGAGAAAAATTTTTTTACTGCCACTGTATTTCACGACGAATTGATCTTTGTTTTAAAGAAAGTAAATCCGCTTATGAATTTCATTTATTTCAACTAAACTTTAATTTGCACTAAATTTGTACTAAATTCGATTAAGTTAAAAACGAACTTTTATTTGTTGAACTCATTTGTTCTCACATTCGAAACCCCGTCATCCGAATTTTAGAATAATAATAGATGCCTTGTAGTATTAAAATATTAGATTATTGATAGAATATTACAATAATAGTAAGTAATATATAGTAATAATATATATAGTAATACTAATATATAGTAACATATATATTATATATTATATATTACTATATATTATATACTTACTATTACTATATATAT